ATGTGGAATCACTTTAAATTTGTTGACAAAAGGTTCGCTTTATATCAAAATTCTCTGAAAATTCCTGTGCCTACAAATAAAATTCCTATAAAACAATCAAACGAAATTATGCCAGTCTACTATGGAGGGTTTGTGGGAGGGCCCCAAGGAGGAGGTTACTGCCTGTACTCATTTCAAAGTTGTCAATCGACGATAGGAGGCTGTGGACCAGCGTGCCATTCCCCAGGACCATGTTGCCCGTTGTCTTATTAAATATTTGTATGTTTATTTTTATTTTGTCAATACATTGTTTTGCAAAGGGAAATAAATGAAGAATTAATACATTATCGAACTGGTTTTACTGCCTACGATTTTACAACGATTTCCTAGTAATCGAACAGGTTTCGATTGATTAATTCCAAAATGTAATAGCTGTAGTTTCGATGTACGGAAAATCTAATCCATTAGTGGCTATTTGGCCTACAGAATTAGTGATAGATAGCTATCAAATATACTCCACTATATTCCAAATAGACTTAAATTATACAAAAAGTAAAATATGTTGTTGGGGATATTTATTTATAATAAAATAACCTAATTTTATAAAGTGTTTAAGTTTTTTATTCAATATTCCACAGAATACATATATATTTTTTATTCTTTTTGTCATATTCAGAAGCATAAAAACATTTATAAAATATAATAATATTGTTTATTTAATAAAATAAAATCTGTTAATACAATAATTTAATAAAATAAAATCTGTTAATACAAAACTTCATAGTTTACCTATTATAGGTAAAGTTTCTTGGTATTTTAGGTAAAATACTTTTTCACACTCTTGCAGTAAAATTTAGTATGTACATTATGCTTAGTATAGATCTTGTTGCAATTAACTAGGTAGAAGGTAGAACCAGATGCAACAACTGTGACAATTCTGATTATTGCATATATAACATGTTCAGGCGTTCCTAAGTAAAATAGGTGAATTTTACAGAGTAAAAACCCCAACTATAAAATAGTTAACCTAGGTCGGTAGGTAGCGGCCGATATTGCGACATTCCATTTATAAAAATATGTCATACCACTTCTAAACATCCCGCCAAAAATCCAAGCGTAATTTTTACGATTTGAAAATGGAATGGTATACCCTGGCGGAACAAAAGTTCCATGACGAATTCGACAAAATTTAGGTTTATAAGAAGAATTTTCCAGATAGTACATCTAAAAATAAATGATTATGCAACATGGGAATGCGAGACAATCCTGACGGGCGCCCTTGATGGGATAATACATGGACAGCACTATGGGCAGCACAGGATATACTGTAATGGTCTATGATGTCGATATTACAGTATATTATCTCTATAGTAATGAGGTATATACCAGACTTGTTCTACTTGACTGACTCATAAATCCATACCCAGTAGAAAGTTTAAAATGTTGAATATCGAGCTAGGTTTCCTTGATAATGATAACATCCTATTGCGATATTAAGTGAATAATAAATTAAGATTCAATATATGCCGGTGGATTTGGATCTACCTATAGAAGTGCCAGTGGAGTCCTATTGTTACTTTGACAGAGTTAATATTTTAATACTTAATATGTATAATTAAAAGAAAAGTAGTGTTGCGAGTGTCAGTAAAGACCCGATTCCCACTATAGTGCCGATCTCAGTCCACTCTGTTTATAAATCTTGTAAACGTGCAGTCCATAAGTAAGAGTCGACACCTCTATCGCTCCCCTCTCGCGGGCTTAGAGTGCCATCTGCACTTGCTCCTGCATACACGTTCGGTAAAGCTGTAAAGGCCACTCATGGCCAACAGCAAACACATTCAGAAAAAAAGCTTGTAAACGTGTAACAACAAACAATCAATTCATGTTACACTGCACCGCCCACGTGTTTACAAGACAATGCTAATAACCTGAACTCTACGAAGCTTAGATAATGGAAGCTTCTTATGAAGGGGCTGTAGGAAATGGGACAGGAAAATAATATTTGTGACCTGAACGTGCTTTTTATTAAAACATTCATACAAAAATGTTTGTTTTGACCGCGACAAATTGCTGACGAAATACCGGGCCCCACGGACTAGTGACATCCAACTGGCCACTAAGAACAGGAACAGTATACGACAATCCGAGCTCTGGAAGGCCGTACAGCTTATTGCGCTTGACGGAGCTCTACGCTCTACACCAGCTCGATGCCCAACTCGCATGAGGAGCAATGCTCTTGCTTCCGCACATAAGCTTCCGACGCTGTCACGCTGTACATGACTTGCCGTGTAGTCCCACAGTCCCCGCTTCGAGAAGCATTTAACGGCAACGGTAGCAGCAGCCGTAGCATGGAGAACAAGGACTGCAACACGAGTAGCGAGGCCCGCAGTATGGGGCGTAGCGCGGACTGCAGCAGGGGTAACAAGGCATTTTCGGACCTCGGTGCTTCGTACAAAGTCTCGCGATACAACTGTTGTCTTTGTGAGATTGTACGTTCGACACTTTTTTTTTTTATTATAGCGGCGTGTTGAAGGCTTGAAGTTTGTTTTTTGAATGAGGGAAAAGAACTAAATCTGTATAAAGAAGATTTTCGAAACGATATTCTATTTTTAAATCAAATTGTATATTTTTATCGTATTATATTTTGCACAAACCAGGATTTCATATTACGAGTATTGATACCACATGATACTAAATGAGGTTTTGCATCGTAAATTCGTAGTAGTATTAATTAAATAGTTGGAAATAGGTATGCAGTGGTTGCCATTTTCTCTCCTCATATCATTCGCACCCATTAGGGTGTGAGTTAAATTTTTTTGGTACATCTCTAAATTGTGAAATTAAAAATATGGATATTGATCTATAAATGGAAACTATTAGATTATTTAGATTTTTTTAATTTCTTAACCTGTGTTTTTATCATTGTTACATAAGTGTTACATCGTATTTTCCAGAAAAGTATATATCACTATTAAGAATAGAGGAGCATACTTCAGACTCCTCCCACGCGAGATTTGTCATGTAAACTTACGTCGATTTCTAATATGTAATATATTTATATATTACATAAGTGGTTAAAAAATTTATCTACAATAACAATTATTCATTATGTCACTTGATTTTTCTTATCTATTTTAAAAAGGAAAAGCTTCTCAATTTGTATTTTTTTAACGCGATATGTTAGCCAGTTAATGAAAAAATTTTTACTGAAAAGTTTACTACGATTTGTAATAGAAAACAAACAGGACCATGCATGACAACACACCCCGTGTTATCATGCATGGTCCTGTTATGCATGAAGATGCATGCATTATACTGCATGAAGTCCCATTATGTCTAAGAACAAGGTGTCCCCATCGCTATCAATAATGACCTCCATGCGGTTCCCCCTGGAAATCATCGTGACTTATTTATCGTTGCATTCGTCACGATGAGCTAACTGACCTGCCTTTTCGTCCTCACCAATTGTCCCTCACTGGTACCCCGTCAGCGTATACCGATAGCGCAGGCGAGGTTACCACTCCATTATCATCCATCAAAAAACCTATTAACCTATTTTAATTTTTGTATTATATCTATTAGAAAATTAGTTCATATTGGTCCTTAGAATACTTATACATCTCGCGGTGATATTAAATTAAAAAATTACTCTTCGGAATCGAACCCATTGTTAATCTTTATAATCTGTAACATTCTTTGAAAGGAACAATTTGAATTCATTCTGTTATTCATCCTTTTCAATATAACTAAAATAGTAGATGCCTATTTGCAGTTTCCATACAATTCTGCAAATACAGACAACACTTGTTCTTAGAAAAGAACAGAGGAATCATCTCAAAGTAAACAATTATAACCTACCTACATATTTCGAGAACTTTATTAATTTAGCTTCCAAGAAAATCATTTATACTTACCAACATTACAGTAAGTAGGCATCATTAGTTTGGTACTGGATACTTATAAACAAATCGCGTATTTTAAAACTCAAAATTGAATAAACGAGAATTATCTATTTCGTAGTATAAGACTAAATAGTGCAGATTCCTTTTTTTATAACTGAAAATGGAAAAATGCACTACCTTTGCCACTAACATAGCCATATACTTAATGCTAATGGTATTGACAAGGCATTAGTGGAAAGCGAAAACATGAGAGTAAAGTCGGGTCAGTTAGCCTAACCTATGAATTAAGTATGAATGATTACATTTGATTTCGAAGAGGACTGGGTGCAAGATGTTTTCATATAAATTGATATTGAGATTCTCGCATGCGGGAAGGGATTGATAATAATAGGGATATTAGTTCTCATTGCTAGCAGTACACTATCAGGTCGATATCCACGCGGGCTTACCTGGATACTAAATCATAATGAGTCAACTGACTTAATCCCATAATAAATATCCTCATCATTTCGTACTTCACTTTAGTACCCCTGTATAGCCATACATTGTTAAGTGAGTACATTATTCCATATATATCCATTTAAAACAAAGAAACTTGCATTGTCTAACTCTCAGAGACAATGGAGTTTGACAACCCCGTTGCTAGCAATATGCCCTATTAGGTCGACCTCCACGTGGTTCCCCCTGGAAACCATCGTGAACAATTCTTGTTGAATTCGTCACGATGGGCTAACTGACCTGCTTCATCCTCATCTATCATTCTTCACTGGTGCCCTGCCGGTGTATACCGATAGCGCGGGTGGGGTTACCATTCAATTATCACCCATTAAAAAACTCTCAGAGAAGAACAAAAGAGAAGAAGGAAAAGGGATCGTTAGTAATGGGGATTAGCAACCCCGCTGCTAGTAATATACCCTATTAGGTCAACTTCCTCGCAATACCCCTGGAAACCATCGAAATTGATTTTTAAATGAATTCGTCACAAGGGCTAACTGACCTGCTTCATCCTCACCTATCATCTCTCACTGGTGTCCCGTCAATGCATACCGATAGCGCAAGCGTGGTTACAATTGCATTATCATCTATTAAAAAAACTATCTCATATCTCTGGACTCTTACCTACTAAAACCATAGAATAAAAATTACTGAAACGTAACATGCAAATTAAAAAAATATATAATCATAAGAAAGTATCAATTTATGATAATTAGATTAATTTCGATTTCAAAACTCCAAAAATCTCACTCAAAATCCTTTTAAAGTCGTACAACAAAAAAAAGTCAGCTGCACCCGCACCATACCACAACGTGCAAATTATACTCAGATTTATTGCAAACTGTTCAGGGAACAACAACAAAGTTGCCGAGTGAAAATTATAAACGTTTAAAAATTTCAACACACTGCCAATGGTTTATGCTATTCCCAGTTTTTTATACTTCAATTTCGTATACGCTTCTAAGAACGGCCATTTCGATGAACCCGCTTGTTATTGGTATGCCAGGGATTCTAGGTAGTACCAATGTAGGATACCTACACTGTACCCTCCTACTGAGAATCGCACATGCATTTAACATGTTCTGTATTATTAGATTATCAAGATTTCTGTTTTGTTAAAGTGTAAATAATTGTTTTCAACCAATTTCGAAATTATGGATGGTTCTGAATACCGTTGTTTTTGTACGATACGCTATACCTTCGGTGATTGTGACCGAATTTTAATAATTCTTTTGCAGTCAATGTAATTTAATCCTATGTTTACTTTACGCTACTCAATTTTGTTTGTGCTACAATAAACATGCCACCGACTACCCCATTAAGAAATAATCCTTACATGAACATATACAGAAAAACAGAATATCTGAGTAGACTAGAGGCTACAGACGTTTGCTTATTACAAAATTTATACAATAAATTTAATACATAAAAAAGTAAATATGAATGGTGGGGAGGGGGGAGGAATTGTTTTTAATAGGGACTGTCAGTCCCATTGCTAACAATATACCTTATCAGGTTGATCTTTACGCGGTTCCCCCTGGAAACCATCACCGTTAATTCTTTGCAAATTCATCCCGATGGGAAAACTGACCTGCTTTCATCCTCAACTATCACAACTCACTTCTACCCCGCTAGTGTATACAGAAAGCGAAGATAGCGTAACCATTACGTTATCATCCATTAAAACAAAAAAAAAAAGATAGATAAATCATTTTCCATAAAGTTATACTGTAGTAAACCCAATAACATTCAAACCCATTTGGACCAGCATGTGACTGTGATTCTGCGAAGCACTCGTATAGATTACATTCGGAGAAATAAAATGTAACTACTTGCCTACAATTTACCGCTGTACCGCTGCACCTACGAATATGTTACATTCGTACCTAGATAAATCATGTCTATTTGGATTAGTTGCCTATAAATATAGCATTAAATAGATCAAGAAATTTGACCTGGATTCGTGCATGAAATATTGATATGTTTCAGAAACAATCCCTCAACAAGAAAAATTAATACCTACGTTACGTCTCAATTATTAATGCAAGTGCGTACAGAAATAAGTTTTAAATATATATTTTTTTATTTCAGATTAACTTGGGGACTGGTCATAATTAATGATATCCGCTAAGTTTGTACGTAATAGAAATCCTCCTGAGTTTTATTTTAAAAGAATTTTCCAAATAAGAGTTCTTACTGATGAGCAATATGTATTATACTAAATAGGTACTTTGTAAAAACCTATCGCAATATTACGTGACGACTGTCACAACATGTTATTTTCTTTATCGTTGAAAACATACCACCTACAAGAATCTATGAAAACTGCAACTACAGAGTAAATAATCACTGATTATAAAATGAATAACTAAGATGAATAAAATAAATAAAATGTAAATGATCTATAGAAAAAGAACCGCTACTTTCCTCAATCTTTGTAATGACTAAATACAGGCACTTCGTCATCGATGTAGGTCAAAGAAATATATATAATAGTTTATTGCTTTTTTCTATCTAAAAACAAAAAATCTGAAAATTCGAAAATAAAAAAAATAAAATATAATGTAGTACTACCTGTAAATGTACTACGCTTAGTCTATGATGTAGAGGTAATTTGTATCCTATTTCGAATTTTAATTTTTAAAATATGAATTATATGTAAAATGAAGTCGATTTATGATAAATGCGACTTTAAGGAGATTAAGAGTGGATAGTGCTTTGGCATTCTCTTTCTACGATCATAATCCATGTTTTTTGAACCTTCTTTTTACATAATAGCTCTATATGTGTATAAAAAGGACTGCAGATACAGGTACTTACTTTCCTTAACCTGTAAAGATGTGACTATTCGGTTTGAGGTTAGATTATACTATCTCTTAGCTTAAATACCTCTATGGTATTGTCGCAGATAATACTGGGGAGGAAGGGATTTTTAGTGATGTGGTCTACCAGTCCTATTGCTAGCAATATGTCCTGACAGGTCAACCTCCACGTGGTCTCCCCTGGAAACCATCGTGCTGAATTCCAGGTGTATTTATCACGATGGACTAACTGACCTGCTTGATTCTCACCTATCATCCCTCACTGGTACTCCGCTAGTGTATACCGTTAGCGCAGGCGGGGTGACCATTGTCCGACAGTACTTACATATCTCCCCCGAGGTTTGTGAGTCTGCATGACATTACATTACCATGCATTAAAAAAAAAGATAATATAAACTATACTAGAGTTGGATAAATATCTAATACAGTGATCGAATGAAGCAGGCTGGACTGTGTGTACGTTAACCACTGCTGCGCAATTTCCAATGGAATTGTGCAGCGGTGATTATCTGTATATTATTTAATATATTATATATATGTGTGTGTGTGTGTATTGTATATATAAATTTACTAACATTAGTTTTAAGAATATTGTTACTAATAAATATTTAATGGACCAAAAAAGTCCGAAATAAAAATTATTATGTCCATAAAAGGGGACAACCCAAAAAATAACAAATAATATAAAAGTACTTACTTATAGTCTCAAAGTAGGTCGCACTAAGTACTTTCCAATCACTGTTACTTTTTCTCACAAATTACAACAATCATTACAACTTATCGTGAAGAATTACTAATTTCAGAGATTTCCCCGGCATGTGTCATGCGGTTTTTATCTGTTAATAGCGAATGAAATATTTTCCTAGAAAAATACATAATGTTACATGATACTGCGAAATGTCGCGCGTTACTGAACACTGTTCTTGGAATAAATAAAAATGTTATTCCCTGTGCCAGTTATATGCACCCATACCTAACTGCTAAGTTTTTTTTTAATGAGTGATAATGAAATGGTAACATCGACCGCGCCAGCGGTATGGCGACACACCAGTGAAGGGGTGATATGTGATGATGAAAGCAGGTCTGTTAGCCTAGCGTAACGAATTCCACCAGAAATAACCACAATAGTTTTCAGGGGAACCGCGTGGAGGTTGACCTGATAGAGTGTAGTACTAAAAATTTACCACAACTGCTAAGTTAGGTATGTTAATATTGCAGCCGAATATGAAAAAATGAAAAAAGGAGCATAATTCTATTTAGTGCAAAGCAAAATTCTTCAATAAGACTATAACTAAGAAGACAGTTTAGAATATTTTATATTTTTCACAGAAAAAAAGTATAGTTTTTATGGTGATAACCTATATTAATTTTTTTTATACAACTTAGAATGGCAAACAAGCTGACGGCCCACCTGATGGAAAGTGGTAACCGTCGCCTATAGATATGAGCAGTACTGTGGACATAACAGAGTATACTGTTTCGCCCATGATACCTCCCATGCGTTGCCACTCCTGTGGACTCAAGTGTTATTCCTCTGTACCCAGTAAATTCACGCCATATCCTACCCTTCAAACCGAAACACAGCCATGCAAACACAACTGCTTCACGGTTGAAACACGAATGGAACAGAGGTACCCAAGCAATCGACTTTTGTACAAAGTCTCCCTCTGGTGAATTTTTTCGTCACAGTCGTACAATACTGACGGATCTTTATATGTAATATTTGTCAGATCCGTCAGTATTCTACGACTATGACGGTTTATTAAATATTAATTTATTTAACACTATTGCACTAATATTAATACTAATAGTAGTTCTGTTTACCGTGTGGTTGCGGCATAGAATAGGCCACCCTTCCTTTTCCGCAGTTGTCGTAAGAGGTGACTAAGTTAGGGCGAGGGATGGGCAGCAGCGTTCCTTTTAAAACATTTCCAAAACCTAACTGCGGTTGCCAATTCGCCCGCCGTGACAACTACTGGCAATTCCCCCCAAGGGTGAAGCTTATGTTCAGCAGTGGACAGTTAAAGGCTAATACAGAAGACAGTCTTATCGCTAAGCAATCTCTTCCAGACAACCTTTGGGTAGAAAGAATTAAAGATATTGAATGGATAGATGGCGCGTATATATACATTCCGCTGGTTTGGGAAAGAAAATTTAAATAAAAGCTAATACTTAATATTAACGACATTCCTGTATTTGATATAAAAATCACATAACTATAAAGATAATAACATTATGTTTATAATGTTATAACAGTCTTTGTCTCTTTTTTGGGGAAGTTTCTTCCTCGCTGCCGTCACGCTCGTTATCGCTCCCGAGGATTTCTGTTGCCGCATCGTTTATGTTAATTTGTTCATCTGTAATAGAGAAAGACTATGTTAATTAAAAATTAATTAAAAAATCTATTGTCTTTTAACCAAAGGTCTGTAAGAGATTGCTCTAGCGATAAGACCGCCTTTTGCACCTTAATGTGTATTTTTAAATCTGTATTTATGTTACTGTATTTCACTTGAATTGTTCAATTGTCATTGTATATTTTTGTTTATGGTGCAATAAAATGTTTAAATAAATAAATAACTATTGTTACGGCTTGGTATTCGTACATCTCACTCACGCATCCAGCGCGTGTCTTCAACTGTTACCACCTTTAACCTATTCTTAATCTAGCTTTGCATTTCTGATCGCCCTACCGACTTCTTAACTCACAGTGCATTTTTTATTACTTTTTGTAAATATAAAATTGTAATAAATTAATAATTTTATTCATTTAAATCCAGCATAATTTAAATATCTTACTGCACAACTATTTAATATCAATGCTGGAAAATCAAAATACATTAAAAGCCACTTATAATAATAGATATATAAGATAGATAATAAGTAAGTTTATAAAACTTATCACTGAATTTAATTTTTCCCCGTGTCGAATGGTATCTATACTAATTTTATAAAGAGGAAAGATTTGATTGTTTGTAATGGACAAATTCATAAATTACTTAATCGATTTAAAAAAATCTGACTTGATGGCTAGTATTTAATAAATTAATCAGAGTAAATTACAAGGCAATTTAGCAAAATTATAAAATATTCAAGAACCGAGAATTTTTGGTTTACACTCAGAGAATTTGTCTAATGGAGTCCGCTTTTCTTTTATAACTATACATATAAATAATACTCGAATATGTGTGCTATGTGGCCCTGGCTTAGAATATGCCATCCCTTCCTTTCCCGTAGAGACTAAAGGGACTTAATGGTTAAGTGATTAGCAGCAGCATCCCTCTCAAAAAATATTTATAATGCCTAACTGCGGTTGCTAACACCACTGCCAAGCATGGCAACTACTGGATGGGGGCCACCTTTTATTTAAAAATACTTGATGTAATTTTATTTTTATTAAATTATATATCACTAAATAGATGTGCATACTACCAACACTTACAATAAATGTGTTTATTTTTGGTTATACTTGATAAATACCTTGTTAAAACCTTGATAATTTATTTGTATAATTCCTGAATGTTCTTGACTCTTGTTACTTTTTGTACCATAAAGGCGTCAAACAAGCATACAGCCTGTCTAATGGTAAATAGTTACTGTAGCCTATGGACGCCTGCAACACTAGGTATGTCACGTACGCGTTGCCGACCCTGAAGAAATCTTAATATGCTCCTTTTGAAGAACCCCATGTAGTCTATAGGGGAAACCTTTGTAGAAAGCTCATTCTACAGCCTGAGCGTGCACTGTTCGTGAACATTTAGTTCTAATTCTTAAATTGATTAAATACAATTTTTTTACAAAATTACATAATTAATTTAAGATTATTTCTGTGTTCACGGCCACTCGAACATGAGGCCCCTCAGTTTGGGGGATAGTGGCATCTTGCCCGCTTTGCCAACAATAACTAGTCATAAATAAAAATAATAAAAAATCACCATTGTCGCTATTCTCGTCAACTGAAGGCTCCCCCCTCGCGTTGAGCGCTTCTTGTAACACAGGCGCCTTTATCCGGAAGTCACGGGCTGTCCCCAGAGACAGGTACTGCTGATAGTTCAGCTGAAATTAATGTAGAGGGTCGCGGTAATAAATAACGTATAGATACAAGACGGGACAATCATTTAAATAGAAACAAAAAGCAATGGAAAAAATAATATCAACATATAGATGTTGGTATTAAAATTTACATTATGGTTACAAAGTTTCAATAATTAAAAGACATCATTGATATTTTTTTTCAAAGAAAACTATGTTAATTTCGATCGGATTCTTCATTTTGACATTAAATATTGAATAACAGTGATGTAACATATTTATTATCGGACCAATATATTGTATAATAGATATTGTAACCAAAATATATAGATATTGCTATATATTATTACTCACCCCAAGTTAAAATGTTTTTGTACATGATGAGAAAATACTTGTCCATTATTGCATATTATTACTTTTCTTGTGCTTCGCTTTAAATTGACTAATTATGATAAAAAGTTGTACTAAAATAGTTTATTAATTGTGCCAAATAAAAAAAAAAGATTACGCATTATTTCACTCACGTTTCCTTTGTTAGCGAGCAGTATCACGTGTTTGCTGAACTGTTCCGCCTCCAGCACGAGCCGCGGTATGAGTTTAGTGTCGCGGAGCACTTTGCTTGCGTTCTGCTGCTGTTGCGAACCCTCCAGGTATGTGATCAGATTGTCGGTCACCGTTGAGAATTTCTTTCCACACAATTTCAGTAGACGTTCAAACCTGTTACAGAAACATATTTACGCTTAGTTATATATATATGTATATATATACGCTTAGTTATATTATTTTTAAAACGTATGTTCATTTTTTATGCGATGTCTATATACATATATAACACGAAATAACGAACTCATCGTGTTATGCCATTTCCAACTTCATCCGGAAGTCTTCTTCAGGGAAAACAATTATCGGATAATGCAAAACACGGTAAGTTCGTTAATTTCCCGTTATATACCTGTATATAATGTTCCAGAAGTAAACGTCAAGCCGGAATCGGGTAATAGGCTTAGTCATAATAGTTATCAACGAAATAAAACAAACCTAAGTTCCATATTTTAAAAATTATAGACATTTAAAAAATCGAGAAAATCTGTGACGGTCTTTTTACTCCTGTTACTACAGATATGTAGTTTTATAGTTTGGAAATTTTTATTGATTTATTTTCATTGAGTTCCATAGAGAGATAAGATGCAGTGTGTACCGCAGGTGTAGCGCGATAGATGGCGGTAGATGTCGCGCGAGTGTCGACAGCAGTGCTAACAGTCGGACTGCGACAGCCAGCACTCGCTCGCTGCCAGCGCCAGGGTTGCAGCGCAACTTGCAGCACTGAGACACCCACGTAGTGAGCGAGCACAGCTGTACCACTATACACTTGTACAGCTCCGTCAGTTCTGCAACGCATATGTGCCGCTTAAAAGAATTCATATGGAAGTGTAGCAAATTTGCTTTAGTTGTTCTCGATTTACAAACATAAAATTTTTTATTTTTCATATTTTAATTGACTTACATATATTTAAGTGGAAAAAACTCGACTGGTTTTGGGACCATCCGAGACCCTCAATCATAAGCGACCCTGACTCAAGCGCAAACAAGTAAGCAAACATTCTCAATTAAAATACACCAAAGTCTATTCGGTTTTTCTTACAATTAAAATAATAGTGGTCCTATTTTTTTTAATTGCTCTGACAGCGAACTAAAACCATAATCATATATACTAAGTTTCGCATAAATCTACCAACAGAAATTTTACGCCTAATTCATATTTTGCTTCTTAAGTTTACAAATTTAATACGTAAAAAATTAATACCCTTTCATGACGCTTTTTAAAATAATAATCTGAATTATTAAAATTTGTTTGTTTTTAAAAATTAACAGACACTTAAAAGTCTTGAGACATACCTCTGTCTATCCTCTGCAGGTGAGTGGGCGTGGCGAGTGCGAGGGCGACGGTGAGGTCTCGCGCTCGCTGCAGCAGGTGGTCGACATAGCGGAACCGCTGCCCAAGGTGGGTACACACGTGCGCCAACACCGTGTGGCCCGACCTACTGTCCACTATTGGAAAACTGCTCGGCTCCTCGCTCTCGCCCGCTGATGTGTCTTCCTCCTAATATACTTACAGTTTAAACAACAGTTTTCGCAGAGACAATTTTGTATGTAAAAATGTTTTTACGTAAATCACTCATTCATTAATTCAGATTTTATTATTTATATTTTAAATTGTATTATTATTGGTGAGCTGTTCATTTATTATTTATTTATATTGTATTTTATAATTTACTAACAATTAGTAATTACGAATTTTATAATTCGACTATTAAATTAGTAATGTACTGATGTACGTATTCCAATAATTTTAAACTATTAAAAAAATGTTCTCGTCATCCTAGGGATCGACTCGACTCAGTTGCGTGCGTACCGGCTCGTACAAAAATAACTACTCATGAAAGATCTTAGCGATTAGTAGAAGCAATATAGTGAATAAATAAAATTTATTCACTGTATTGCTAGTGCTAGTTTCGGATTCATTCGGATAATTTGAATAAATTACTCAGTTGAATAATTAGTAGTCGTTTCAGTAAATTCGTGCATCTTTAGTTGTTTAAAACATTGGTTGAACATCGACTCACACTGAATCGGAGTAATCTCTACGGACATAAAGTATTTTGTAAACTCGCACTACCTACTTAAAATTTACTCGTAGTGGACAAAACAATTATTTTTTATTCTTTAACACTTCTTAAAAAAAAATATAGGAAGTGCTGTAAATGCAGATTAACGATCTGTTATTAAAAGACGCGACTAACATCAATCCTGCCCAGCACGGCTGTTATCTTAGTGAGCAGCTCGTCCAAGAGCTGCGCCTCTTGTTGGTCCCTGCAGCCGGCCGCCAGCAGCGCTGGTAACATCGGCAACCAGTCCTGCTTACTTATTCGGATATATTCTTCCAGTTTGATTAATATCTGTAATATTTGTGTAATATATATATATATATATATATATATATATATATATATATATATATATATATATACATATATATATATATATATATACATATATATATATATATATATATATATATATATATATATATATACATATATATATATATATATATATATATATATATATATAATTTATTTGCATCACTTACAAACACAAATAACATCAGATATTGGTGCAAAGACAGCTTAATAACATTTATACCAAAGCATACCATAGTGTGCGTTCTTTGCAATTATCTATTTTCAAAAGTATTGTTTTTAAATTAAGTATTTTTGATGGATTATTTATAAAAAATAATGTATTATTAAAACTTAAATCATAAAATTGTTTGTAATGATGCCCACAGTCGCATTTTATCAACGTACCGCTCGCCTATGATAGGGAATTCATCCTCACACGCTTGAACTTAAATGGTCAATGTACAGTGTGGTTTCAAAGAAATTTTCTCCTGAGAACGCTCAGGCTGTGGAATGAGCTCGCTCCCCTAGGTTTTCCCTAAAGACTACAGTATGGAGTTCTTTAAAAAATATATATATTAAAATGTCTTCAGGGTCGGCAACACGCACGTGATAACCCTAGTGTTGCAGGCATCCACAGGCCACAGTAACCGTTTAGCATCAGATTGGCTGTATGCTTGTTTACCACCTTCATGGTATAAAAAAAGAATAAGTTGCATACAAAAATCTAAAACAAAATTTTTCACATCTGCTTCATATTTTGCTTCTGAAGTTTTCAAATACTTTTTTACCTTAAAAATTCCAATTTTCAGTGATATTACATGGTAATTGGACATTTATGAATAAGTGTTATACTGTTATTAAGCGTACATACATTAGTCATCTCAGTGGAATGCAGCACGGGTACGTCGAGGAGGAAGGCAGCAGTTTGCACCAGTACAGTCGTGATCTTCTTTCCAATCGCTTCTGGTTCCTCTTCGACACTCTCGGCCGCCGCCTGCTGCAGCGCCTCTAAGATCTGCTCTAGAACTGCTGCTATGTGCGTCGCGTCGGATACTTCGGATAGATCGGCTGTAAAATGCGTAAAATAATTTTTATCGATAAAGCTAGTGTCACATTAGGACAAGCTTTAGTCGCCGATCAACCGCGTAATATAACCTATAATAATCACTTTATCATATCTATACATACGCACACACGCGCACGCGCACCTCATATTACGCGGATGGAATGACCAATCATTACGCCTACGTAATGTCGCGTTAACTGCACGCGTTACAAGGTGTATATTACCATTTAGTTCATTAAAATATATATATGGTATATGTAAAAGATATTTATAAATTTAGAGACACACTTACTTATTGATCGTAAAAAGCTATCCATTTTCAGTGAATAGTTTGATGAGAAAAGTAAAGTCAAGCAAGCTTTGAATACTTCTAAACAGCTGAGTGTAGTCTGATCATCAAAGTCGCACATATCTTGAAATCTATAACAAAACACCATCGTTATTTTATATGAGCACTATGTAGGTAGATTACTTAGCTTTTTTAAGATAAAGATGTAAACATAAATTTCAGTGCTAAATAATAAATAATTTTCTAAAGCATGAAGGCTAAAAATGTAATTCAATTTCAGCTTTTAGGAATTACATAGAGATAAACTGATTATTTTCAAAGGTTTTATAACTAATTCAAAATATAAGACATCTAATTTGGTATAACATCATTTGAGACCAGCAATATTAATTACAACATATATCCATATGTTGTAATTAATATAAATAACTAAAAACATATCGATCCCTTAAATGTTAGGGAAAATTTTGCCTCACTCTGTGTGTTCTACCGCTTGTATATCAGACTGTGCTCAGACAAATTGTTCAATATAATTTCCACGGCCACTTTCTATCATCGAACAGCTCGCAATCAACAGGGAGTTCACCCCCATATCTTAGAGTCTAGATAGTCCTGCACAGCATGATTTCAGAGATGTTTCCGCTCACGAAAGCTCAGGTTATGAAATGAGCTCCCTGTCGAAGTTTTTCCTTTTCCAGCATGGGGTTCTTCAAAAAAGGGGTAAAAATATTTCTTCAGAATCGGAAACGCACGCGAGATGCTGGTACTGTAGGTGTTTATAGACTACAGTAACTGCTTACCATCAGGAGAGCCGTATTGTTTGCTTGCAACCTCAGTGGTTTAAAAAAAAATAAAAACATAACTATAGAATATCATATTACGTACATTGTCCGGTTCGAAGGACCAAACGACATACCTCGAAATACACCTCTTGTAGAGGATAGCAGCAATTTTAGTGACATGAGAAGCGACCTGTTGCTTCTCTATGTGATCGCTTGAGAGTACCGACAGTATGCAGCGGAGCGCCCACCGATGGAAGTCGCGACGGCCGCGTAGGTAGTTACGCTCTTCTAACGAAGTCCATGGCACTGATTCACTGTACCATATTATAATATTAATATGTATAATATTAAAATATAAGATACTAGCATTTTCGCACTTTGCCCGCGTCCCCAGTATTTAAAGTATCATATGTGTTAAGTTAGAAAATAACCTACGCATGTAGTAAATTTCGTTCAGCCTTTTAAACATGACTGAGTAACAAACATCCAAACAAATAAATATCTTTACACACTTTTACATTAATAATATCAGTAAATTACTACTACCACCCTAGATCTTCCTACGACGGCAAATATAGAGTAGTAAGTCCCAAAAATTGATATCCTTTCCCTGGCCTTATCCACTTTAAAACTCGTCTTATATTTGCAAGTATTAATCGACTAACCAGGGCTTTATATGTACATATAAGTACACTCATAGTAATTATTAATAAAATGTATAAATATATGAGATTTCTCTCTTAGTTTAAGCCCAATTTGACTACACAAATCATCATAACGTCATATTAGCCATTAACTGTCCACTATTAAACATAGGCCTCCCCCTATTGGGGGTTTGCAACGACAGTTAGATTTTCGGAACATTTTAAGAGGGATGCTGCTACCGATCACTCGACCATTAAGTTATTAAGACTATATAAATAATAGCATGAAATGACTTACTTGTACAACAATTCGACGACTCTGTGACAAAGACCAAGGTCCCACAGACACGGCAGAGGCTTGAACGGACCAGCCCTATCCTTAGTCAGATTCGATAGTTTCACTGGACCTTTGCTCTTCTTCTGTGACTTCTGACTCTTTTGAGATTTCTCCGTCTCCCTTGTCTCGTTCAGCGGTTTACTCCCTTTTTTACCAGTCTTCGGTGGTGCCTGTGTATAATAATTATGCATTTATTATATACTAGTTTTTACCTATGACTTGGTCTGTGTGACTAAGATATTTTTTTTTATACAGCTTAGAATGGCACACAAGTTGACGTCCCACCTGATGGAAAGTGGTAACCGTCGCCTATAAACAAGAGCAATACCATGGACATAACAGAGTTACCCATGATACCCCCCATACGCTGCCATTCCTGAGGCATGAGATTCATCATAGCAGTCCTTAGCTGAACATAAGCCTCCCCCTTGGGGGGTTTTGCCAGTAGCTACCACGCGTGGCAGGCAGATTCGGAACCGCAGTTAGGCTTTATAAATGTTTTAGGAGGGTCGCTGTTGCCCATCCCTCGCCTTTTACGACACCCACTGGAAAGGAAAAGGTGGCCTATTCTATGTCGGGACCACACGAAAAATTGTTGTAAAAGTATTGTAATATGTATGTAAAAATTTATTAAAATTGATCAAAGAAATAATAAACTCACTTTCATACATACATAGATATGAAAGCGTATCAAGATACAACATACACCAGATATTAAGTTTAATCATTAAGAACCCAAAACTGCATCCAATTTGGTACAATAGTTTAGTTGCATGATGCTGACACAAACGTACGGACAGACAGACAAAATTTATATAAAAATATAATATTTTGACTTCTATTACTCTTATTAAGACCCCTTCTGCAAATTTTTCATAAATACCTCCCATGTACAAACATATCTAGTTACAATTCTATTATATTAATAAGATATACGAATGAATAATTTATTTGCGAAATATTGGTAAAGTAAAATATATTATTAGGTAAATAAACAGCAAACCTTTAATTGTTCCAGAAGCTGATTACATGACTTATATAAGCTATATATAGACGCGGCTATATCGGCACTGCTGGGTACCCACTGCATTATCTTATACGCCACCAGCGCTTCATAACATTGCAGTATTTGTTGTACTTTAAGACATTTCGCTTTCGACTCTGGAGTCAAGTCTGAGAGGCCAGGATCTTCCTATAATATGGAAACAGATTTAATGGCTAACTCATAATCGCGATTTATTACATTTATCTGCGTGACTGGAATGCGTTCACTAAGCGGAATAAAAAGTAGCCTTTGAAGTTGGTATACCGGCAAAGACTGCGCCATGAGGATGAGGTACATACAAACAGCGGTGTTATGGTATACAAAACCATAAGTTATATTTTAATATGACGCCAAACCACACATTCATGCAGATGATACAAAAGGTACAGACACTAATCCAATACATTACAACAATACTTTCTGGCTCCAGTACATATTATAACCACAACCTTTTGCACGGGCAAATCATCTGTCAAAACCACAGGGTTGCCACAAGTCTATGTTCTCCTCTGTATCATATAGTACGTTTATACCAAATTTAATAGCGATTGGTTAAGCCATTAATATAAATAATAATAATATAAGGAGTAAGGCTAATATTAGCAAGGATAATAAACGCTTTATTGCACACTAACAATAATAAAAACATTTTAATAGATTGTATTTTATAAAATGCGGCCTTGTAAATAAGCAATAACATAGTGAACTCAGAATCCAAGCTGACACTTTTATAATAATACTAAAGCCAGATCCACACTATAGCGCCGCTTTCGTTCCGTTCTCGGTATGGTCAGTACAAACAGTTCGGGATTGATCAAAACCGGACTGGATTGTAGTGTAAATACGCACATTGTTTATTACGAAATAATATTTTACCAGACCGAGAGCGGAGCGAGTGAGCATGCCGCTTTCTTTATAATGTGGATCAAGCCTAACAGTTTATTAGCTCCACTATCGAACACAGAACTCTGCTTATAAAAGGTACATATACCTAAAACCTAATCTGTTACCACACAGATATGTATTTTTTTTTTATAACGCAGGGGGCAAACGAGCACGCGGTTCGCCTGATAGTACGTGACCACTGCCACCCTTAACCCTTAAATACCTGAAGTTTCAAATTTGATACCGGGGTTATAAAACGAATTGGGCGCCTACAATCGACATTATTTTAATATTTGGCTGTTTACATGTTACCAAATGTTTTTTTCAAAATAAATACATATATAAAAATATCGTTTTGATTTTTTTACTATCTTTTCCCATTAGTAAACACAGTAAAGGGTACACTTATATATTTTTTATTTGATTTAAAAAATCAGGCTTTTAAAGGTTAATGGGTGCATGGGAGCACCTGCAACACTAGAGGCATCTTAGGTGTACTGTCGGTGTTTTAAAAAGGGAATGTATCATCTAAATTTAAGGTATCATACAAACCAAATCGATAACGCCTAAATTTTCGCTTTTACACAATTTTTCCATGATATAGGTCAGCTGGCTCTTTAGAAGCGCACTACCAGTATCCGCACTTGGGCTTCCGAGGATGTCCTCCAAGTCTTCATCTTCTACGGGCTGAATGAATTCTGCTATTGCATACAGTAGGTAAGATATTGGTTCCTGCAATGTTTATCGCTAATTGAACAAAACTGAAAAAACTCATATGTTAGTAAATTTTTTTTTAAAGTTTCATCATCATCATCAACATTTCAGGCATTATCTGTCCACTGTTGGACATAAGCCTCCCCAATAGACTGCCATAAGGAACGATCCCGAGCTACCTGCATCCACTGACTCCCTGCAATGCATTTCAGGTCATAACTCCATGTAATGGCGGTTCGTCCTATACTGCGTTAGCCCGTATGGGATCGCTACTCAAAAACCTTTCTTCCCCATCGGTTATCAGTTTTTCTAACTATGTGACCAGCCCATTAACACTTCAGCTTGCTTATCCTTCAGGCTATGTCGGTTACTTTGGTTCTTTCGTGGATATCCTCGTTTCGGATTCTATCACGCAAAGATACTCCGAGCATAGTCCTCTCCATAGCCCACTGAGTAAATTGAAGCCTTTGCATACGGGCGATCATGTATAACCATAATTATTATATAAGCTGTAAAATATCAACTGCTGAACAAAAGCCTCTCCCTATTCAACAGTAGTTGTTCAACAGTAGTTGTCATGCTTAGCAGGCGGATTGGAAACTGCAGTTAGGCTTTGGTGATGTTTTAAAAGGAAAGCTGCTACTTATTTCTTGATCATTAAATTCCTATTGTCTTGTGTTACGACACCCCTCAGAAGGGAAATGGCTATTCAATGTTACGTAAAGAATCATAAATACACTTGTCATACTAACTTAGGATCCAATTCTTCCCTCAACAGAATGTTATCATCGTATAATAAAGCCGTAAACGTTGACCATGATATCGACATTTTTGGTAATTCTTTAGTGCAGTTTACTAGGCTTATTAATAATATGGATTGGTAGTTAGGTCTTTTCTAATTGTATAATTGTTAGTAGTGTACATTGACGCTTATCTGTGAAAGCTGTATACACCTTTAATTGATGTGTTCATATGGCCTTAAGCTTGGTAGTGAGGAGTAAAATTTTTTGTTCAAACTTAGATTTAAGCATTTTTTAATAGTAGTGTTCTCTTTTACTTACTAGTAACATTGTATATTGTCTGCTTAATTATTGTGAGCATATTGTTGGTGTGTCTTTTATAAATAAATAAATAAATATTGAGTTAAAAAACCAATAGCAGAATGGATAACTTACCACAAGGGTGGCACCGGTTGCAGTGACTTGCACACACTTGTGCAGCAACAAAGGCGGTCCCTCGTCTTCACTTTCTGCCAAATACTTATTGAGATGCTCATATAATGTTTCCAAAATAGTCTCATGAAGTGTATTTTTCTCTTTTGCACAGTAGTACAACTCTGAAATAAAATACCAATTGTAATGTTCATTAAATAATCATCATTATCATCACCTATCCTAACCAATCTATTGGGGGGGAAAGGGATTGTTAGTAATAGAGATTGAGAATCCCATTGCTAGTAGTATACCCAACCAGGTCGACCTCCTCGCGGTTCCCCCTGGAAACCATCATGGTTAATTCCTGATAAATTCATCATGATGGGCTAACTGGCCTGTTTTCATTCTCATCTATCACCCTTCACTGGTGCTTCGCCAGCATATCCTGTTAGTGCAGGATCAAAAAAAAGCAATTTATTGTCTACTGATAAACTGAATTACCTATCTTAGTCGAATTTTGACATTTTTAAAAGACTTAAAGATGTCCTTAATAATTTATTTAATAATAATCAAGTCCTTAATATATACTCCACTGAGAGGTGAGTGAGTGAGAATGAAAAGGCAGATCACTTAACCCATCGTGATAAATACACCTGGAATTCAGCACGACGGCTTCCAGAGCATACCATGTGAAGGTCGACCTGCCAGGGTTTATTGCTAGAAATGGAAGTAGTAGTCATAGATTACTAACAATCCCTTCCCCCTATATATGTATGTTTTTTAATGGGTGAAAACGGAATAGTAACCCCCCCTGCACTATTAGTATATGCAGGCGGGACACCAGTAAGGGATGATAGGTGAGAATGATAAAGCAGGTCAGTTAGTCGTGATAAATACACCTGGAATTCAGCACGATGGTTTTCAGGGGCACCACGTGAAGATCGACCTGATAGGGTACATTGCAGTGGAGCTGTTAGGCCCCATTACTAACAATCTCTTTCCCCCCTTTATCTGTATGTTAGAAACCACAAAGGGGACGAAGTTGCAAAATACTTTTACATTCTAAAGGGGTTGTGCTATGAAATGGTTTGAAAAACACTGGCTTAATCTTCAGACATGTAACTTACTTGTATATAAAAGCTGCTTAACAGCAGCGTCTTGGACGAGGCAGCGGCGCATTATCGACAGCACCTCCAAGCACATTGCTACGTTACGAACTCGCGATGTTACCCTAAACATAAAAAGTAAAATGACAAATACTATTGTTCTACTAAATGCCGAGTAAAAGATGGACAGAGTACGAAGGGTACTTCTCTCCCTCACTGGAGTAACTATACTTCAAGGATGAATATCTTAGTCTGTCACACGCCTCGTGAATCATCTAAGGAGTGCTGCATACGAAATTGACAAACTATACTAAATACCACTTGGCCGTGTGGTCCCGGCATAGAATAGGCCACTCCTACCTTTCCCGTGGGTGTCGTAAGAGGAGATTAAGGAAGGGCGAGTATGGGCAGTAGCATGCCCCTTAAAACATCTCTGAAGCTTAACTACGGTTGCCAATCCGGCCAAGCGTGGCAACTACTGGCAAACCCCCTTTATGGGGAAGGCTTATGTTCAGCAGTGAACAGGTAAAGGCTGATATGATAATGATTTTTTTTTATACAACTTAGAATGGCAAACAAGCTGACGGCCCACCTGATGGAAAATGGTAACCATCGCTTATAGACATGAGCAGTACCATGGACATAACAGAGTATACTGTTTCGCCCATGATACCCCCCATGCGTTGCCATTCCTGAGAACTCAGATGTTATTCCTCTGTACCCTGTAAATTCACGCCATATCCCACCCTTCAAACCGAAACACAGCCATGCAAACACAACTGCTTCACGGTAGAAACAGGGACAGAGGTACCCAAGCAAACGACTTTTGTAAAAAGTCTCCCTCTGATGATGATGATGACTAAACACAAACACAATAAGCCTCGGAATCTAGTGGCTATAAATATATAATAAATATTATATCATTAATATATTATTATTATAAATTCCAAAATATGTTAGGATAGATGAATGGATAGATAGATAGATAATTTTATTTGCATTACTTACAGCACACAAATTACAACATACATACACAAAAAAAAAACGAGATAACATAAATGACCAAAAAATACACACAAAAAAAAGCAAATGCAACTTTCGTTTGTTTTTGAGTGTGCCATAGCGTTTTTTTTTTTTTTTTTTTTTTTTGCTATACAAAATGGCCACAACTCAGTTTATTGCTTCGCCCTCAAAAGAGCAAAGAAAAACACTGATATTCTGTTGCCATAGGTGAAACCAAAGGATTGTTCAATAGGGTAACAATAAAATAATACTACCAGATTATCAGTACAATAAAAAAAAAGATTAATATACAGTATTAATATAGGTGTATGTTTCTTTTTCACGCAAAAACTACTAAACGGATTTGAATTAGCAGATATCTTTTTTAAAGAAAAGTCCACCCTTGCTCATAATATTTATAAATGTATTATCTATGTAATTAACAAGTGTCATAAAGAATATATATATGGCCGTGTGGTCACATCATAGAATAGACCAACCCTTCCTTTCCTGTGGGTGCCGTTAGAGTCGACTTAATGGTACAAATGGGCTGCAGTAACCCTCTTAAAACATCTCTAAAAGCCTAGCTGCGGTTTCTAATCCGCCTGCCAAGCGTGGCAATTACTGGCAAAGCTCCCTGTACGGGGAATGCTTATATTCAGCAATGGACAGTTAACGACTAAAATGATGATAATGAATATATATAAAATGGGCCGTATTACGAGGTATTAAGTACTAACACGTCGCCTTGCTGCGTGGCATGCAGGTCGACGGAGAGCTGCGTGAGGTAGGAGTGCGCGCTGAACTGCTCGCTGACGCTGTCGCTGCTGGAGAACGTGCTGCGTGACACGCGCAGGTGACGCAGCACCGACAGTAGCCCCGACAGCGACAGGCAGCGGTGCACAGAGTCCCTGCGGTAAGAGGTGGAAATGTTAATACGAGTTGCTAATAAAAAAAAAAATAAAGAAAAGATTCAATAATAAAAAATAACTAAAAGAGGAGAATTAAAGAATATAAAAAAAATCTTTATTTTCAGATAATAACAGCCCATAAATGTTCGTAAAATGTCATAGCATGCATGTTTAAGTTTTCTTCAATACTAATGGTGAATTGGCAATGTACTAGTAACAGATGAAGTTTTTTTTTTTTTTTTTGTATACAGTTAGAGAGGCAAACGAACTAACAGCCCACCTTATGGAAAGCAACTACCATCGCCCGTGATGTCGTACATTGGATACATTACATATATATATATATATATTTAGAGAAACTAAACACCACTAACTTCGAATACAATCCTTTGCTGCAGAACATAATTAGGGTGTCCCTGATCTTTATACTGAAGTTGAGCAGTGGGTGGACGGTATCCAGTACAGCGGCGGCCGTAGTATAATCGTTGCCCGATGGTTGGCAGTTCTCGATGATAGTGCGCAGTTGGCTGCAGCGCTCTACAGACAATGGTGCTAATTTGCACAGGACTTGCAGGCAGTCTGTAATAACACTATCCAATAATCAATTATCACTGAAAGTTTTGACTTAGTCTAACCGGTACCGGCCTCGAAGTCAGGGAGAGAACCAAGGAGGATGTAAAGGGAGTCACATATCAGTAAAGGATCATATCAAATTCAATGTTAGGACTTTCAAGCGAATAGCTTAATAATTTGTCCAAGGGCGCCATAAGCAAGTCAAAAGCTCTCCGTGATCTACACGTCGAATTCATTCCTACATCTTGCACTCCAAAATGGAATTTAATGCGCTCCTTATCCCTATATATCAGGGGTTGCCAACCGGTCGAAAGCGACTTCTAATCCAGTCGATCGTGACAAGGCAAAAAATATAATGTTTTACTAATCTAGCGGAAAATGCTCAGACGCAATGCTCTCACTAATATGAATAAGAAGTTACTAAGAATATTTTTCAGTTTTATGTTTTCCCTTTTAATAAAATAAAAAATACTACTATACTACATAATTGTGTACTGAACTATGATGTTACATTTGACATTTCAAGAAGTATAGAATTGATAGATCGTACAAAGTTTCGTCAGTAAAAAGCAGATCTTGGGATCTAGTCAAGTCTGCTACCCCTGTTATATACCCCTTTTCTCTCTCCATTCACTGGGCCCGCTAGCATGGAGCACCCACCTGCATATTGCGGCTGATTAGAGTCCCCGGCCAACCTGTCTCCCAATTGCGTCAATATGTACGGTGCAGTTTCCAGTATTAACTTGCTCACTCGCACCAGAATCAATTTGCCGTACGACCAGCACGCTTGCGCAGTAGGTTTCGCTCGAGACACTGACAGTAGTGACAACGCCAGGTTGATTAGACCCATCGCTGTCAAATTGACTTGGTTGACGCTGAAATATTTTAATATAATAGTTTAGCCCCTTTCAACCCTTTAGGAGGAGGGTTCCCTTTTTTTAGAGGTGTGAATGAAATGGTAACCAAACCTGTACTATCAGTATACGTTGAAATAGGCATATTTAAAAGGGGGTAGGGTGAGCCAGCCGTCACCCCTAACAGATATAAAAAAAATAAGCGTGAAAAAAAAAACACGAATAAACTATAAATAAAAGGTTAGGTTACAAATTTTTAAATTACTAGATAATGTGTCCAGTGTATATTTTAATGGATGATAATGGAATGGTAACCAGGTGGGCTTACCATTCCATTCTATCGGTTTACACTGGCGGGGCAACAGTGATGGATGATAAATGAGGATGAAGGCAGGTACATCAGCCCACCATGATTCATCAGGAATTAACTACATGGGCTCATCAATTCCCCATTACTAATAATCCCTCGCCAATCTCAGGTCCTGTAGTATTTATTTATATCATCCTTTTACTGGCCACTGCTAAAAATAAGCTTTCCCCTTGGGGGTTTTGCCAGTAATTGTCACAATTGGCAGACAGTTAACAACCGGAATTAGGCTTCGGAGATGTTTTAAGAGGGGCACTGCTACCCATCCCTTTACCATTAAGTTTCCTTAGCCGCCTCTTACAACACCCACGGAAAAGTAAGGAGTGGCCTATTCTATACCGGGACCACATGGTAATTTATTTACACATACATTGTTTATGTATTTATAATAATACCTTTCAGTGGTGAGTACTTTGAGCATATTGGTTACGTCGACGTCGGGCGGCAATACAGAGCGAGACCACGCCGACTCTTTTCTTCGCAGCTCGTCCATAATATGATGTTCTATTGCAGATTTGATCACCTGCAATCGTAAAAATTAATGACCATAGATAAAAAATCTAAATTCACAATCTCTTACAAACTTTACACTCAAAAGTGCCCCAAACTGAAATTACAAGAAATAGTTAGTTATCATAGGACAGTAGGTCAGTAGACAGGATATGAATGGATTCAATTATTTATCATCATCATTTCAGTCATTAACTGCCCACTGCTGAACATAAACGTTCCCCTTAATGGGAGTTTTGCCAGTAGTTGCCACTCTTTGCAGACAGGTTGGCAACCGCAAATAGTTATAGATATTTTTAGAGATATTTTAAGACGGATGCTGCTGCCACCTATCCTTCTACCATTACCAGGTATTTATCATGTATAAATTTTGTAAGAACATATTTAGCAAAAAGTATCACAATAGGTATGGTTTGAAATACATAATGAAAACACACAAACAAAAAAATTCAATGCAAACTTCACTTACATTTAAACAAACACCTTTAAATTCCGGCCCTTTGTCAGACAATGCGAGCGCTACATCTATCAAAAATGGTGCTCGTAGCAATTGGGTCTTCGGCCACGCCTTCAGGTGTTTCCTAATAGTCTCCAGCTCAGTGAGCCCCTGTGTTATGTTGTAGATACAAGTGGATAGACAGAGACAGAGCTCCACTGAATTGGACTCCGCTGAAACAAAATTGTATAGGTACTTACTACTATTTCTTATACTCCTACTAATATAATTGAAAACTACTACTACCTATAACTACTATTTTTTTTTTCATACAACTTAGAATGGCAAACAAGCTGACGGCCCACCTGATGGAAAGTGGTAACCGTCACCTATAGACCTGAGCAGTACCATGGACATAATAGAGTATACTGTTTCGCCCATGATACCCCCCATGCGTTGCCATTCCTGAGAACTCAGGTGTTATTCCTCTGTACCCAGTAAATTTACGCCATATCCCACCCTTCAAACCGAAACACAGCCATGCAAACGCAACTGCTTCACGGTAGAAACACAAATAGGACAGAGGTACCCAAGCAATCGACTTTTGTACAAAGTCTCCCCCTGGTAGAACCGCCTACCTGATCTGGTGTCCACTCTGGGATCAGAGAGAAGCTTACAGCTAAGCGAAAAGACATGTCTAAGAGTACGTAGGAGCCTTTACTAAAGATGTCTAAAAACTCTTAGTCCTGTGTCTTAGTCGTGTGGTACCAGCACAGAATAACCCCTTCCTTTTCCATGGCTGTCGTAAATGGCGACTGAGGGAGGGCAAGAGATGTGCAGCATCCCTCTTAAAACATCTCTAAAGCCTAACTACGCTTGCTAATCCGCCTGCCAAGCGTGACAACTAAAGGCAAAATTCCCATTATAGGGATAGCTTATGTATTTATAGCAGAGGACAGTTAAAGGCTAAAACTATCCTCCACACAGACGTATGCTTATATTATAACCAAAAAAAAAGGAGAAAAACAAGAAGTCACTTTTTTCCACTTTTTTAAATTCAATGTTAGAGGTTTTTCAAAAAAAATTTTTTCTTTATATAACTCTTGACTTTTAATTGGAAATTTTATGCAGATAAAGAAACTCTTTTTTAATAAGTAAATATGAAATGCTGTGCGACCAGTAGTTCCAGAGATATTAGCAGTTGAATGGAAAAGGATGCTTTTGCATTCAAAGTTCGATATCTCTAGAGACAAATGGTCGTAATTGAGCCATCCAAAGCGATTTTTTTTTAAGCTGAATAAACACGCTAAGAGACCTATACAATGGAGTAGCTCGAAAAAATTTTTCCATGCCCATAGAGTGAAAAACGAAACCTAGAAAATTTAGAAAAAAATTATTTTCAGCTTTGTTTAAGAATTGCATGGAAACCGGAGCTCAAAAAATTTTTTCACCAAAAAATCTGAAAACTAGAGTTTTCAAGCATTCAAAATATATTTTTTTAAATTTCCTGTACGATTATTTTTCACTGAAATACAGCCTGTTGAAAATCACCCAAAAATTTCAAAAATTTTTATGTTCCCTTAATTTTTGCGAGGAGTGTAACATATTTATACTTACCAATATCATCTATATCAATTGTAGTGGCCTCAGAATCCTGCGGAGGAGGCTCGAATTTACTATACAGTCTTCCATTAAAATAATGACTTAGGTGCGCCATAACTATTTCCACATTATTTGTCTTGCATAACCTACAAATAAAAATTAGATGTTACTCAACTTCTCAATTCAATTGTACTTATATTTTAAATATACGATCCGGACTTAATGTAATGAAAAATTTATACCTGCAAACATTCTTTATCGCGTGAAATCTCGATCGTGTATTTAAAATATGTGTAAACAACGCGAAAATTTATATTAACTACTAACTAGTACTTAATTTACCACCCCCTTCCTTTCTCGTAGGTGTCATAAGAGGACTAAGGGAGAGCGAGGGAAGGGCAGCAGTGTCCCTCTTAAACCATCTCTAAAAGCCTAACTGCGGTTGCCAACCCGCCTGACAAGCGTGGCAACTACTTGCAAAATCCCCTTATGGGGCAGACTTATATCCAACAGTGGTCAGTTAACGCTGTGATAATAATATAATTAACTAAATCCATTCCTTAAGTTTAGTGTTACTATTTATTAAGTCTCATAACGTTTTTTTTTTCCTAGAAAAAAACTAAAATATTATATTCCTTATATTATGTTTATAATTACGCTTCTCCATCCAAAGAATGCCTGGAAGAGAACACTCTTAAGGCCGACCATTGTTTTCTTAGTCAAATATTTTTTAAACTATACAAAATTACAAATAATTAAAATTTTATTTACAAATAGATTACAGATGCTTATGGAATATAAATGTTCTTTATGTGGCACACACACACACACACATACACTAACGTAGAGCACGAGCACACGCACACGCCCACATAAACTATGCACCTACGTGTACCCAAACTAACATGAAACATTGTATAATTAGATTAACCCTGTTCGCCGCACCATAACTGTAAAATTACTTGCTTTGATTTCCACGAGACAGGCTTTGCCTAGTGTGGAGTCATAGCTATATTGTACTATAGGCTAATTTTGTTAAAGGAAATAAAGATACTGTTCTATTCTATTCTTACTTGAGCAGTTGATAAACTAATGGTGGTAGATTTTCCAGGGATATATCTGTCATGTAAGAGCATAATTTGTTGACAACTTGTTTATGATCATTGCGATTTAACTGCATATCTCTGCAAATAAGTATCAAAAAGTTAGTATTATTTCAAATAGATAATAACTTATATCTTATTATTATAATTAGTTCTTTAATATTATTATAATGTAAATATAAAAATATAAAAATTCTGGGGCACAATGAATGTTCATATGCATCTCTCAAACTGCTAAACTGATTTTAATGAAATTTTATAAATGTGCACTGTTTGCTCCATAGAGACTTTTCATCCTGACAAGTGAAAGGGATAAAGTGGTTTCTTTAGGGTCAACAACGCGCGCGTGGTGCGCCCTATATTGCAGGCGTTCATAGGGTACAGTAACTGTTTGCCATCAGATTGGCTGTATGCTTGTTTACCACCTCAATGGTATAAAAAAAACTGTCATCAAGATCTTGCACTCATACCAAGCCCGGTTTTGGTAATTAATTATATTTACTACAATATTACTAATTTAAAATTTATTTATAAAGCTTATACCTCGAAGCCAACATTTAATATGTTATCTAATTACTTTAACATGGCATTTTTCGTAGTTAGAGTGAATAGGCATTATTTGATATTGCATGTCAATAAAAACCAGGTAACCAGAGACTGAAGTCAAACACGCTTAAATTACCAGAGGGAGACTTTGTAAAACTTGTTTGCTTGGGCACCGCTGTCCCATTCATGTTTCTACTGTGAATCAGTTATGTCTGCATGGCTGTGTTTCGGTTTGAAGGGTGGGATATGGTAGTGAATTTACAGTATACAGAGGAATAACACCAGAGTCCTCAGGAATGGCAACATATGGGGGGTATTATAGGTGAAACAATATACTGTTATACACTCATGTCTATAGGCGACGGTTACCACTTCACCATCAGGTGGACCATTAGCTTGTTTGCCATTCTAAGTAGCATAAAAAATATTAAAAATATATCTCACTTAAACATAGCAGCTAACTGTACAAGTTGTCCCTCCTTCCACCGACACTGGCATAATGTGCGTACACACTGTTCTTTGTACTCTGTGGTGGTCATAACTGTACCACAATGTTTTATATTAACATGTGACGCCAGCACATACAAACACTCGGGCAGTACATCTCTCCATCTGTAAATAGTATAAGGCACATTTATCCAAAGAGCAAATAAGTCTGATAAAAAAAAAATCTTTTATTAAAGATACATTTTAAATGTTTTTACAATACTCCTTTGAAAAGGATTGTAATGAATTCTATCTAAACCACTTTTATTATTGAGTAAACTCTTTTAAATTAAACATTATTTATTTATGGCAACAATCTCCATACTCTGGATACAGTATAACATACATCATATTAACATCAGCATCTTCGACAATGGACTGGACACTGTCATCACACCATGTTACCAAGTCATCAGCTGGCATCCTCGATAATTCTAAGCACAATCTACTGACAACCTCACTGCAGTGTCTAATAGATGTAGACTCTTTTCTCATTGTTTGTAGCACTATATCTATTACCTGAAAATATTAGTTTATTTATATTATAAAAGCCTACTACTATTATAAATAGGAAAGTTGTGAGGATATGTTAACATAGTTATACTATTTTATGCAAAAATTATTGAATGGATTTTAATGAAATTTGGTACACAGGTATTCTTCTTCTTTTTTCCGTAATGGCAATTGGTAGCTATTTTTATGACCATTTCTGTCAGCATCAGAGATAGATATTCTATCTAAATGACTGATCTAATTTTGGACTTTTTGATATAAAACTGAAAAAGACAACACAATATGGGTTAATGATAATTATCAATACAAACATCTTAAATATATATTTTATATGAATATATAAAAAAAATACATATAACAGAATTTATAGTTTGATATTATTGTTTTTATTATTATTGGGTTTAATTATTTAAAGGACAGTCTAAAAATATGGTTTACATCAACATCTTCTTGACCACATTCACAAATAGTTATCTCTAATTCTAAGTTTTTTTAATTCTAAATTTAATTAAAATTAACCATAATATTCTTGATTTATTAGAGTATATTGGGGGGAAAGGGATTGTTAGCAATGGAGTTTGACAGCCTCATTGCTAGCAATATTAGGTCGACCTCCACGTGGTTCCCCCTGGAAACCATCGTGTACAATTCTTGTTGAATTCGTCACGATGGACCAACTGACCTGCTTCATCCTCACCTATTATCCTTCACTGGTGCCCCGCCAGCGTATCCTGATAGCGCAGGCGGGGTTACCATTCCATTATCACCCATTAAAAAAAAATATAGAGTATATTATCAGTAACGGGGCTTTTTCATCCTATTTCAAACAATCCCTTTCTTTCCCTTAAAATTGCATATATATTTGCAGAAATGTCTATGCAAGGCTTTACTACAATTCTAGAGTCGATACCAGATAATATAAGAGGCAAGCGGTCCACCTGGCTCTCTTCTTAAATACACCTATTTCAAAGTGTAGATACCAAGGTGATTACAAATTACAACAGAAAAAAATCCAGAAAAAGGAATAGGCGATAAAGGGAACTTGTGGCCTCATTGATTAGTAGATACTAGATATGTTAGAATAAGCCAAGTGAAAAGACTTCGCCAACATCTATCATCTCTTATTGATGACCTGACAGCATAAACCTACAGCATAGGTGAGCAGGGTTACTATTACCATTTCATTTCTGTCTATAACAATAAAACAAACTGTACACCTTAACTAAAAAAGTAAAGGTCTATTTACTTATCCTATAACAATAACTGAAAATAATGGATACAAATAAAGATCATAATACCTTAACTTTATTCCTAGCTGAAATAGCGCAGTTCTCTGACAATCCATTGAATAAACAATTCAACAAATCGGCAGCATCGCTACATATAATACGTCTAGATAAAACCGGTAACATCTGTAAGATTAAATAAATTAATAATATTTAATTTAAATAAAAACAAACAAGTACTTACTTTAAACATAAATTAAGTCGGTTAATTAAACTAACCTCTTCCATTTTTAGTTTACAATATTCACGCAATTCTTCCCTTTTACTATTTTTAATACCCAATTCTTTAATTTTGATAAAAATAGGATTATTAATCTCCATTCTTAATAATTAATTATTTAACAGTCTTACGTAATTAAACCGATACTTCAATTCAATCGTATCAAAATAGACTGGAATAAAAGGATAAAAATGTAGAAAATAAAGTTAGTAAACTTTGTTTATATCAAAGAAACAGAAATTGAAACACAACGTCTATCAACTACATTATATTTATGTTTTTTTTTTTTTTTTCTTATGTCATGGCACTAAGTGCATCCGCCAAAAACAAAATTTGAGAAACAGCATTTTAGTAAAGGAGTTTAGGATAAGGATCAAAAAACTTGAATAATGAATAATATAAGGAAAAGGACAGATACCTAAATAGATATTACAATATATTTAACCTTAAAAATATATATGTATATGTAAAATACATAAACTAAGAAAATTTACAACTTAATATTATTGATAACAATAAAAGAGGAAATCGAATTATATACTTCTAAATTATCAACAAAAACAATAATACTGGAATTGATGTAGTTACATCATGTACATACAAAGGTTTGTACATGTTTATTAAATAGATTAAATCTGTTTTTTTACTAACTGCATTACGGCAGTTCCACTGCAGAACTTTGGCTTGGTTGTCCATTCTTTTTATTATTTAAAATATTAATGAATGCATTTGAAAGAGAAGAAACGTTGGACGGTGGAATGATATTAAATTGTGTTAATAAATTTAAAAGAGCTATTACTATTTTAGAAATAGAACGTTTAGTTTCATGTTGCTGATTATAACCACATCCATCTGCAGGAGCAGGAGGATTGTAGTCTTTTGTTAAAGTGATATATTCATTACGATCAAACCCATAGGAAGGTTTTGGAGGACGACGAATTTTTTCTATGACGGTTTTTTTTATAAGGTTTATTAGAATAAGGAGAAATTACATTATGAATCCCATTCTGGTTTGAGTTTATTGTACTACATTGTATTTACAATAACTGGATTAGATCTTAGAGTGTCAGCATATGATTTAATAGAAGGAGCAAGCAAATTGATGCTTTAACATAAAAGAAAACCTTGAAAATTCTGGACATTTTTTGCTGTTTGCCTGGTGAGCACCTTGGCATATACAGCAGTAAAAATCTTCTTCATGAACAGAACAGGATTCTCCAGAGTGGCCCTAACCACACTTATAACAATGTGGAACAGATCTACATTGATTTTTAATATGGCCATACCTACAACAATTATAACATTGAATGGTAGAGTATATGTACAAATCTACAGGCAATGAATTATAACATATGCAAACTCTCTTAGGTAACACTTGACCATCAAAAGTTATAACTCGATTGATCCACATTGCCGGCTACCGATTTACGTGTTCGTTTTGTTCCAGAATTATCAGAAATATTAACATAGAGTCCTCATTATTGCTAATAATTACATGAAGAGCGACCTCGTGGACCGTGCCCCAGGATCATCCGGGGGGGGGGGGGGGGGTCCATATATTAAAAAGAAATATATACAAAAACTTATCTAGTTTACAGCTACTATTACAGAAATCTAATATATACAAAAATAAACTAATATAAATGTTATTTGTAACTTATCTGATCGATATTATAATAAAAAAATAATATTAAAGGAGAAAAACTCAACCGCCAAATTTTACGTTTCCCGCCCTTTTTCCTATCATAATTTCTTTTTTTTTTTCATTTATTGCGACTGGCGAAAGCCATCCGCCAAAAAGTAACAATTACAAGGTAACAGCCCATCATAGATTTTTTTTTTTTTTTTTTTTTTTTTTTTTTTTTTTTCTTTTTTGTGGCGTTCACCCCGATATTAGGGTATTTTGCCAAGAACAAAACGGGGAAACGATAATAGTAATAAAAATATCTAACACAAACGAATTTAGAAAGGATAAGGATTAGGTCTAGGATATTTATAGGATATGAAACATATACTTGTACATATGAGAATATACTTATAAATATATAGGAAAAGCAATTGATGCAACTATAAATGTATTCATGTAATATAACTAAATCTTAATATTGTTATCATATATATATGAAGATAGTATTTTATAGATAATAGGATCATTGGAAGAAAGTAGAGTAAGAATAGAAGTTGGGAATGGAACACGGATGGATCGGAGATGATTAAAAAGGGAGGTGTGGTCAAATTTAGAACATGAGAAGAATATATGATTCAAGTCTGCCACTTCAGCACCGCAATTACACGACGAACTTTGTACAATACCAAGCTTGTATAAATGAGAAGGTGTGCATACGTGACCTAGACGCATACGAGTTATAATAGTTGTTGCGGTCTTTCCAAGCTTTAATTTACAAAACCATGGTTTGAAAGGAATATCGGGTTGTATAAGGCGATAAAATCTTCCTTTTGTTGTACTTGTTTTTTCCCAATATTCCTTCCAGGCATACCTTAAATATATTTTTGGGAGACAAGCTAGGTCACTACAGTAATTATGATACGGATACATATCACCACAAGTTACAGCCTCTCTTGCAATAAGGTCAGCTTTGTCATTGCCGCTAATACCACTGTGTCCTGGTAACCAGGCAAAAGAAACGGAATACCCTCTCAACATGCAAGGATAAAGACTTTGTCTTATGTCACAAATAATGGGATAAACTGGTTTTGATTTAAACGGATATTTGGCTAGAGCTTGCAAAGAGCTCATAGAGTCAGTGAAAACTATTGCCTTATGTAATTTCATTAAAAGTATATATTCTACAGCTTTTAAAATACCATAACATTCCCCGGTAAAAACTGAAGACTCCGGTGGAAGTTTAATTTTTTGAACGATATTAAATTGTGAATGAAACACACCCACACCTACACAATCGCTATTGTCTGGTTTTGATGCATCAGTAAAGATGTAGTGCCATTCATTCCATTCAATGTCAGTTATAAACATAAATTTGGCATTCAATTCTGAATCATTTTTTAATAACCCAAAATCATATTTAATATTAGGAGATAAAACTAAAGATTGATATGAGCATTTATAAATGGGAAAACAGGACGATGTAAAAGTGGGAGATTCTATGGATTTATATTTTTCATAACTTTGTATTAAACATGGAGGTTTTTTATGTTTCCAATAAGATGAAGACGAAATAAAGATATGTAGTTGAGATAACTTTTGAATAAGCGGATGATCAGATAATTGTAAACAACGAAAAAAGAAGCGATCAGATAGATATTGTCTTCTTAAAACCAAAGGTGGATCACCGACTTCGAGCTGTAAAGCATTGGGACTTGATTTCATTGCTCCAGAGATAATCCTCAAGGCCTTTGATTGAATTAAATCCAATTTCTTAAAAGCAAATGAACTTCCTGGAGCTAACAAAAAAGTTCCATAATCAATGACACTCCTTATAAGACCATTATAAGCAAGTTTTAGTGAAACGGGATGTGCTCCCCACCAAACTCCAGCAAGGCACCTAAGAATGTTGAGGTTACGCTCACATTTCGTAGAAATATAATTACAGTGGGACAGACCTGTTAATTTATTATCTAGCACGATACCTAAAAATTTAATTTCAGTCTTTATAGGAATGTATGAGTTATCATAAAGCACCTTAATTTGTTGCGGTGATCTCATTCTTGAAAACAAAACTACACTACTCTTGGTTACAGAAAGATTAAGACCATTTGCATCTAACCACGTTTTTAACAAATCTAATGAATCAGATAATTTGGCAGAAGCAGATTCTATGGACTTAGCAATAAAATATAATAAAAGATCATCAGCATATTGTAAAATTTTGACGGATTTATCAAGGAATAATTCTAGATCGTATGTGTATATGTTAAATAAGATTGGACTGAGAACAGATCCTTGTGGAAGGCCTTTCCATACTGTTCTAGATAATTTGGTATCTTCATCTAAATTCATATATATTGTTCTTTCTGATAAAATATTAATAATGAAATTAGAAAGCATTACCGGTACATTTAGAGCTTGTAATTTAGTTTTTAAAATAGAAATTATTACATTATCATAGGCAGAATTTATATCTAAAAAGGCTGAGAGGATTGACAACTTTTGTGAGAAAGCTATATGAATATCTGAAATAAGAATGCTCACATTATCTAAGGTGCTCTTACCTTTCCTAAAACCAAACTGGTTCGGGGATAGTAAGTTATTACTTTCTAAAAACCATTCTAGACGGTTTTTCACTAAATGTTCAGCTAGCTTTAGTAAGACAGAGGAAAGTGCAACAGGACGGTATGAAGATGGTTCAGAAGGTGGTTTATGAGGCTTTAGAAATGGTATAATAATCTGAGACTTCCATGAAGTAGGTATATTTCCCGAAATAATTATGGAATTAATTATATTTAAAAAGTAAATTAATGTCGCATCGCTAGCATTTTTAAAAAAGGAATACGGTATACCGTCTTCTCCCGGTGCAGAGTCTTTAATAGAAGCTAGAACACCTTTAAGTTCTACTAGAGTAAAAGGAGAGTCAAGTTCGAATAATTCGTCAGAGACGGATAGAGAAATATTGTAAAGGCATTCCGGCACATAACTAGGAGCAAGGCGATCTAAAAATTTATTCGCTAAAGTTAAATCGAGTGCAGAACGTGATGTATGATCACTAAAGGCAGATCTGAATCTTTTAATATTATTCCAAACGACTGATGAATTAACTTCTGGACAGATAGAAGAACAAAATCTTCTCCAGCCTTCTAATTTCTTTTTTTTCAGTAGTTTTCGAGTAGAACGTGAAACTGCGGTGTAAATTTCAAAATTTTCTGGTGTCATGTAATTATTATAATTTTTTTCAGCCTCTTTACGATTTTTAATTGCTTCCGTACAATCTTTGTCCCACCAAGGTGGCGAGGGAATTTTCCCTGAAGCACTATTTTTAACAGGAAATAATAAATCAGCAACCTCCTTCATATTTATCATCAAGTCATTACAACATTGATGTTCATTTCCATGGTAAACAATAGGTAACTCCGATATTTTATTATCTAAATATTGTTTGTAAATATTCCAGTCTACATTTGATAAATTATATTTAAGCCGAGGACCACTCTTTCGACTTGAGGGAATGGAAATTGGAAAAGAAAGAATGAGGGGAAAGTGATCGCTTCCGAAAGTAGAGGAATGAGGATACCACGACAGTGAAGAAGCTAAATCAGAAGAACATATTGAAATGTCAGGAGCACTAAACCCTTCATTCGGTGCAGTTCTA